GCGTGAAAATTAATTTATCAAAATTATACGCCAAAGTCAAGATGTAAAATTCATACTATAATGATATTACATAAACATAATTAGGTTTATATAAAGAGATAAATTAAAAGAATTAAATAATAAAAATAATAATAAAGTAAGGATAAATAGTAATTGAGGAGTGTATAGGTCAAAATCTGACTGTAGTGGTCGACCAAGCTGGGACCTCGCCCAGGTGGCGAAACGACGAAAAGCACCACGACCAACCTCGAAGTCAAATCATCGAGAGTATATGTCAAGAAAGGACGTTACTCGAATAACGATAAAAAAGGTCGTCACGTGAGAGCCGTTGGTCAAAGAACACTGAGCAAAGTTCCAAGAACTATATATAGAAGGGAAATCCTCGGGAAAAAAGGGCGGGACTCTTCCTCTACTTTTTCTCTTACAATTTCTTATTGTTAAAGATGTAAACTCATTTTTTTCTTCTTATGAAGGATGAGATTATAACATCAATAAACTCAGAATGTTCTCACTTTTCATTGATTATTTCGTTGTTCACTTTTAGATCTGAAGCTAATTATGCTTGGCTAAGATACCTTTTTTGTTATCGATAGTTGAAGTTACCAAAAGAGTCCCAAACAATTTGGCGCCGTCTGTGGGGATTTCTTAGCCAAATTCTTTAGTTTCCTTCAGATCCAAAACCGGTAAAATATAATCACCCACCCGAAAGAGTGGTAAGTAAAACTCACATGCTAATCCAGATCAGGTTGCTACACAAAAGCAAGAGTTACAACCAATATCCACACAAATCCCACACACATCGGATGATTCACGAACAAAGTACAACATGTCTCCCTTGTTATGGGTACGAATCAGAAAAGATCGAACCGGGACTCGATTTCTGCACCGCAGCAATTAAGGCGAACCCAACTCGCGCGGAGCTAAGGCACCTTTAAAAAAGAAAGGAAAGCCGAATATGACCGCCAAATCTAAAAACCACCATTCCATCAACCATTCAAATGCCAGTAAAGCGAGTAACACTATGAGGCTACCCTCGCTCACCGACTCATTGGATCGAGGTAAGAAAAGTCCCATCATTTTTGTTTACCCTCTATTGTTTGCTTAGACAGGAACACCAGCGCCGCACGGGCAAGCAAGCAAAGGAACATCCTAGCTAAAGACAACGAAAAGAAAACTACTACAAAATAACTGGAAGGTCGCCCGTCTCAAACACTTCAACCTCTGGGAAGTGACGCCCCTCAAGTCGCACCCCCTTTCCCCTCACCCGGGTTTTGTCCCGAGTGGGTTTTCTCGGGGAGTTTCTTAACGAGGAGATGAGAGGGACATCTCCAAAGTAAAGAGATAATTCATCGCCCCACCTATCAACGAGCTCCCCAAGCCGAACGACAAAGGGACTAGATACAAGGAAAATCCAATATATGCATGAAAAGAACGCATATGGTACCCTCCAGTTAGCGAAACGGCAACATTTTATACTCCCCATCATCATACTCACCAAGGCAAACAAAATTGAGCAAATTGGGACTCACCCAGGAATCAAAATTAAGCAAAACTGGGACTCCGCCAGAGAACTCCCGAAACTCTCCAACAAACTGGGACTTATAACGGGCTAATATTTCAACGTCAGCTCGAAATAACACCCATACGGCCAAGGGCCATCGCCAAAAAGAAGAATTCGACCTCGCTCGAATGACGACGGGTTAATATTTCAAGTCAGGCTCGAAATACACC